TTTCCTTAAAATGTAAGCTGTTGTAGTTATTAACTCATGTGTTCTGTATAGTTTGGTCTTCCTTTCTAAAATGACTTTCTCTTATTTGTTATTAGTAACACTGTTTTGTATTCTCTTTTCTAAATTTTTCTAATTCTGATTTATATTATTCTTTTATATTTGCTATTAAAATCTTAAGCTCTTTTAGTTTTCTTTAAAATATAATTTGTTCTGTTTGTCAGCAAATCTCATTTGTATATTTTTATTTTCTATAAGAATTTTGGTTTGCTTCTTCCTCTTTTTTTCGTAATATAAATTTACATGGAATGTAACCTTGATCATTTCTGTTGCTAATTTTTATGTGAAATTATACTTTTCATGTTCCTAAAATGAGGGAGAGATTAGGAAAACCTTTTCAACAATATAAAACCCCATTTTCTGTTTTTATTTCCTTTCTGTGTTCCTCTCAATTTTGGTTTTGACCTTCTCTCCTTTTATCTTGAGTTCACAGGGGCTAGACTGCTCCAATCCTTTTTGTCCTTCTTATAATGGACATTTTTGTCTCTCACCTTTTGTTAGGAGAGAGCCAAATCTCTACTTAGTTCTAGTTCCTGTTTTCAAATTGGTGGTTATCTTTATTCTTGAGTTCATGAGTTTTGCCTCCATTACCTCTGTTCTTCCCTATAAAAATATCATACTGAGTGGGCAAAACCTGGAAGCATTCCTTTGGGAACCGCCTCCATTACCCTCGTTCTTCCCTACAAAAATATTCATACTGAGTGGCAAAACCTGGAAGCATTCCCTTTGAAAAACCAGCACAAGACAAGGATGCTCTCTCTTCCTTCCTATTCAACATAGTTTGGAAGGTCTGTCCGGGCAATCAGGAAAGAGAAACAAATAAAGGGTATTCAAATAGGAAGGAAGGAGTCAAATTGTCTCTGTTTGCAGATGACATGATTGTGTATTTAGTAAAACCATCGTCTAGCGCCAAAATATCCGTAAGCTGATAGCAACTTCAGCAAAGGTCTCAGGATACAAAATCATTGTGCAAAAATCACAAGCATTTCCTATACACCAATAATAGATAAACAGAGAGCCAAATCATGAGTGAACTCCCATTCACAATTGCTGCAAAGGAATATAAAATACCTAGGAATACAACTTGCAAGAGATGTGAAGGACTTCTCAAGGACAATTACAAAACCACTGCTCAGGGAAATAAGAGAGAGACAAACAAATAGAAAACATTCCATGGCTCATTGGATAGAGGAAGGATCAATGTTGGTGAAAAATGGGCATAATTTGCAGCCAGGTAATTTATAGATTCAATGTTATCTCCATCAAGCAACCATTGACTTTCTTCACAGTATTAGAAAAAAAAAAAAAAGTGCTTTAAATTTCATATGGAACCAAAAAAGAGCCCATATAGCCAAGACAATCCTAAGCAAAAAGAGCATAGCATCATGCTACCTGACTTCAAACTCTACTACAAGACTAAAGTAGCCAAAACAGCATGATACTGGTACCAAAGCATATAGACCAATGGAACAGAACAGAGGCCTCAGAAATAACACCACACATTGACAACCATCTGATCTTTAACAAACCTTAAACAAACAAGAAATGGGGAAAGGATTCCCTATTTCATAAATGGTGTTGGGAAAACCGGTTAGCCATATGCAGAAAACTGAAACTGGACCCCTTCCTTACACATTATAAAAAATTAACTCAGATGGGTTAAAGACTTAAATATAAGACCTAAAACCATAAAAACCCTAGAAGAAAACCTAGGCAATACCATGCAGAACATAGGCATGGACAAAGGCTTCATAACTAAAACAGCAAAGCAATGGCAACAAAAGCCAAAATTGGCAAATGGGATATAATAAACTAACGAGCTTATGCACAGCAAAAGAAACTATCATCAGAGTCAACAGGCAACTTACAGAATGGGAGAAAATTTTTGCAATCTATCCATCTGACAAAGGGCTAATATCCAGAATCTATGAGGAACTTAATCAAATTGACAAGGAAAAAAAAACAGACAATCTAATCAAAAAGTGGGTGAAGGATATGAACAGACGCTTCTCAAAAGATGACATTTATGTGGCCAAAAATCATATGAAAAAAAGCTCATTATCACTGGTCATTGGAGAAATGCAAATCAAAACCACAATGAGATACCATCTTATACCAGTTAGAATGACGATCATTAAAAAGTCAGAAAACAACAGATGCTAGAGATGATGTGGAGAAACAGGAACTCTTTTACACTGTTGATGGTAATTGTGGAAGACAGTGTGGTGATTCCTCAAAGATCTAGAACCAGAAATAGCATTTGACCCAGCAATCCCATTACTGGGTATATATCCAAAGGATTATAAATTATTCTACTATAAAGACACATGCACACATATGTTTATTGCAGAACTGTTCGCAATAGCAAAGACTTGGAACCAACCCAAATGCCCGTCAGTGATAGACTAGATAAAGAGAATGTGGCACATACACAAGATGGAATACTATGCAGCCATATTAAAGGATGAGTTAATGTCCTTTGCAGGGACATAGATGAAGCTAGAAACCATCATTCTCAGCAGACTAACACAAGAACAGAAAACCAAACACCACATGTTCTCACTCATAAATGGGAGTTGAACAATGAGAATACATGAACACAGAGAGGGAAACATCACACACCAGGGCCTGTTGGGGGGTGAAGGGCTAGGAGAGGGATAGCATTAGGAGAAATACTTGATACAGATGACTGGTTGATGAGTGCAGCAAACCACCATGGCACGTGTGTACCTATGTAACAAACCTGCACATGCACCCCAGAGTTTTAAGTATAATAAAAAATATTTTTTTTAAAAAAAAGAAATGCCATACAGTATGATTGAGTTTTTTTTCCCCACACCCTCCTTTCTAATTTTGTTTTAAATAATGTCTTGTGTTTTAGCTTTTGCTATCTACTTGCTTTGTCAGTTTTACGTGAATTGAAAAGATTGAAAGGCTATGCTGGTCAGGAACGGTGGCTCACGCCTGTAATCCCAACACTTTGGGAGGCCAGCGCAGGTAGATCACGAGGTCAGGAGTTCAATATTAGCCTGGCCAAGATAGTGAAACCTTGTCTCTAAGAAAAATACAAAACTTAGCCAGGCGTGGTGGCGCATGCCTGTAATCCCAGCTACTCAGGAGGCTGAGGTAGAGAATTGCTTGAACCAGGGAGGCGGAGGTTGCAGTGAACCAAGATCCTGCCACTGCACTCCAACCAGACGACAGAGTGAAACTCCTTCTCAACTCCATCTCAAAAAAAAAAAAAGAAAGAAAGAAAGAAAAAAAGAAAGGCTATGCTGTCACACTATCATCTCTCCAGGATCCCTTTATTTTTTAGTTTAAATAAATTCTATTCCCTTTTGTATTACCCCTCATCCACTTCCAAACTTTCCTAAAATGTTATTTTGATATACCTTAGAATGGAGCTATGTTAATGTGTATAATACGGTCTGTAAAGTTTTATATCTTCTGCAGAATGAAAATTCTATGCATCAAGATTTATTGATGTTGTTCGCATATACTCAATGTTATGTAACTAAATATATATACTACAATTAATTTTTCAGTTGAATCATTTGGATTGCTTATGCTATGTTTAACAGAGCACTTATTGTTTCATTGGAGCTACGCTTAATTTTTTAAATACTAAATGTTGCATATTGCTCTACATTGGTCTTAGTGTATAAGAAGAGGTATACCTTATAATAGTATGCTCTTCATAGAAAGCATAACATTTCTTGAAATTTCAAAAAGCATAGGTAAGTACTTATTAATAAACTGAGCATATTAGAGAATCTTAGAGTTATGATACAGGCAACAAGGAAACAAGGAGAAATGTGTTCCACTTCCCTTCTTCTCAATTGTCTTTTGCTCTAATTCCTTTGTGATTTTCTGTTTCTTCATGACTTTGTCTCAGAATTCCTGTTGCCTTTGCATCTTAAGCTGCAAATACTCACAGAAAAGACTGGGATTCTTGCTGCAGTGACTGACATTACCTTGAATTTCTGTTGCCATACCTGTGCCTTGCAGTTTGGCAGTATGAGAGTCATTGGTAGGATGTTTTGTCTAAATGGGACAACCACATTTGAAGTTGCATAGTCTATAACCTCCAGTAAAGTGTACATGTTGGATAGTTATGCATCATAGTACAAAGATATGTATGGTATTATATAAGCATCTATTTCCCTTCATTGTTTCTATGCTACCGAATGCATTTGTTGTTCCAAGTGGATTAACCAGTCTAGACATCCTACCAAATGTCAATGCAAGCATGGATCTTCTGTGCACAGGTCTCAAGTGATCAGGGCTTGTCTGCAATGCCACTCTTAAACAGTCAGATGAATACAGTCACACTGTTATTGTTTGTTTATTTTTTTCCACTTTGCTAATAGAAAATGTTATCTGAATACAAGATTTCTTTTTGTTTTCTAAGCAGAAAGTAACATATGACCAGAACTCAAGAGGGAAAAAGTTAGCTGATGAATAAATGCCCAAGAACTTGGGAAGGAAGTATATATTTTTTATTACCCACTAAGCCACGATAAGGGTTATTATCATGAGATAATCATTCCTCTGGAGCAATACGAGACAGGGGACACAGCTGAGTGCGATCATGCCCATGGGATGTGATTAGCTCATGATAACAGCATCCCCTGAACTCATTGCTATTATGAAATGTCTGTTTCCCCCCATTTTCTATATATAAATAAATGATTTTGGCGGACAGATTCAATTCCCACAAACTGCAAGTTTGCATTAAAATGCTTCAGCTGTGAGATTCACAGATATTAATTTACCCTTTTGGAATGTTGAACAGTCAATCAGAATCTTTCTTCGTCTCAAGCTGTTTTATGATATTATTACAATGTATTTTGCGACGGAACGGCGGGTAAAGCAAGTTTCAGAGAAATAGGCTTGTTTGGGCTCGATTTAGTTGCTTGAGGGAAACCTCTACATAAAATGACTCTGCCTGCTCACTAAGGCATCCTAACTTTCTCATTATTTTTTTCCTGCCTGACTCTATTTCTTTGCTGCATTTTAGAAGTCTGAAGTTCATTCCTCTAACTAGATTAATAAAAGCAGATTTCTCATTTCATATTTCAGAATTGACAGAGGAAATACTGCCCTGATAATGTCAGAGTGAAGTGAGAAAATACTAGTCCCGAATTTGGAATTTTAAAATTAACTTTGAAATCGGATTGATTTTTGGATTTATCAATAAATGAGAAGTTTTGATATAATAACAAGACTGGCGGGTATGTATACTTTATTATAAATTTATTTGAAGTTTGTGAAAATAGCACAATTAATTTATAAAAATTAAAAAGTCAGGCTGGGTGCAGTGGTTCATGCTTGTAATCCCCACACTTTGGGAAACTGAGCCAAGAGGGTTGCTTTGAGGCCGGGAGTTTGAGACCAGCCTGGGCAACATAGTGAGACCCCCATCTCTACAAAAAAATTAGCCGGAATAGGTAGTATGTGCCTGAAGGCTACTCAGGAGGTGGAAGTGAGAGTATTGCTTGAACCCAGGAGTTCGATGCTGCAGTGAGCTAAGAAGGTGCCACTGCACTCTTGCCTGGGTGACAGAGTAAGACCCCATCTCTCTTAAAAAAAAAAAAAAAAAAAAAAAGTCAATGTCATTTCCATCAGCTAAAGAATTTTGGGTAATAATCTCCTTGGCCATGCTTATGAAAAGCAGAAACATAAACTAGATTATCATAGACTACTAAAGCATTTTTTTCTCTATATTAAAAAATATTTGTGGCACATGTGTTAATAGTATTAGAATGAATATCTGGTGTAAAAAATAAGGATTGAATCTAAAAACTAAAGAAAGGAAAAAGTGGCATCTTCTTTTTCTTCAAATATATTTTATGGTTGTGGTCAGGCAACCTTTTTCTCATTCCATACATGTATGTGTTGTTCTAATTTTTAGGAGAACATACAAGCAGTCATCATTTAATTAGAGAGTGTACTTAATTAAGCAATACAAAATTTGCTGCTTATCATTCTTCTTCTTCTCTATGAATGTTATTACTTTTATGGTGTGAATGATGCAGAAGCTTGCTTCACACCACATTAAGCCAGAAGAGGAAGGAGCTCATGCACTAACTTACACAGAGCATCTGATAAAAATACAAATTCAGTGATCAACTCTGGAATTATCAAGTGGACATAAATGAACAGTGTTATGATATGAATTTAAAGTATAAGTATTAGTAATGTTTCATGAGTTATTAGAGTTACATTTTTCTTTTTGTTAAAAAGTCTTGGAATGAAATTCTGGCTTGTGTAGTTCTGAAAAGGAAATATCCTTCCTATTGTGACTGTCAGTTTTATGTGTGAATTTGAGTAGTCTGAAGTATTCAGTTATTCAATCAAGTAGAATATTAAATCGATTTTTATATAATTTCTTATATGAATATTTTAGAGAGTCGTGACTAGGTGTTCTTTTGTAGCATTGAATGGGATATTCATGGGGATGTTAAAATAAGTAGGTTTTCTTTTTCAGTGATACAATTGTCAAATCGAAGATATTTTTGATACTTTGATTGTGTAATTTTCCTTTCCACCTTTTATTTTTCTCTTTCAAGCTGCATTTGGACATTGTGCAAATTATTTTTTGGGCCCTATGATTAAAGATTTCTGAGGTCACATCAAAACAGGAGGTTGAAAATGCTAGTTAAAATAGTTGGGTAATAAAAAAGATGTTAAATGCCATCTTCTTACCCTAAAAATAGGATTTTCTTTTTTTTTTTTTTTTTTGAAGACTGAAATTTGGAGAACTTAAAAAAACGGTGCTAAGTTTGGTGAAAGTAGAAAGATATATGGAAGGCTAGGTTACATGTATGGTATTTGATTATATATCATAGGTGTCAAGAACATTCTGGAATCATGGTTCTAACACAGATTCTAGACATCTCCTAGTCCAACCCCTTGAGGTAAGCGATGTTAAATACTAACAATTCAGGAGTTAATGATCACAAAGTCTACTTTTAAAATATGTAGGAGAAATTATTAAAGAACTTTTTCACGTTGGTTTTGCATGCATTTTACCTCCAGGTTTTTATAGTTTACCTAAAGCATTCTGATGTTTACATCAAGTATGGAATAAAATATGAATTTGCACACATTAATATGTATATATAGATAGATAAATGTAATATGTGGTAATTGGAACAGATCTTTACTTAGAGAGTTCAGTAGTAGGCAGGGTTTGAAAGTCAATAATTTATAAATGAAGCTGATAAATAGAACACATTAATTGAAGATACAGCAGACAGCTGAGAACTGAAAAAGCTAACACTTCAACAGCTACCTTCTTTTAGTCATGGTATAATTTTCTATGCTGCATAATGTAGTCCTTCCCTCTCCCAGAGGTACCAATAGAGGCTGGAACTAGAAAGATTAAAATATTACCTCTAACAGTATGTAAAAGTTGATTTATAATAAAAAAAACAATTATTTTCATTAGTCAACATTTTCTGTTCTCTCATCCCACCCTCATCTCAAATTTTGAGCATGAATATTAGAAAATTTAAGTTAAAAAAATCCTAGAAAATATGAATAAATTCTGAATTATATGTTTTATTTTCATGCATAGATATAACTATTACCATGAAAATATGTTAACCTAATGAATCCCAAAAAATAGGATGAATATAATGAGAATTTGTCATTGTACTAAAACTAAATTTATGACACCATACTTTCACCTTTAATATCATTTCCTCTTTATTGTCAAGAAATGTATCTAAGCAAATTCTCATAGAACACTAGTCATAGCAAATAAAGCTTTCATAGTAGTAATCTTGAAAAACAAAGCCTTTTGGTTTATATTCTTCTTACTTTTAAAAGTAAATATTAAAACATACTACAATAACAAAATGGGTTAACTTTGTTTAACATAGGGTTTCCTACATTCATTTGACCATAGAATGCCACACCTGTACCTCTCCCGCCAACACCATTAATACCAGTCAACTGATGTTTCCACAAATCACTTTGGGAAATCTAGTGTTGGCCTAGATTGTTGGTGAAATTAGAGGAAGAGTCAGTCCTATTTTTCCATAAAGAGCCAAATAGTGAAGATTTTATAATCTGTAGGCCACATATGGTGTGTGTTTCATATTCGCTTTTGGAGTTACAACACTTCAAAAATGTAGAAAACGTTTTTTGCTTGAGAGTCAGTAGGATGCAGGTCTGATTTGGCCTGTGAGCCATAATTTATTGACCCCTGGATTAGAGGATACAAATAAAAAATAATGACTAAGAAGAGAAAAAATCAATTAATAAATAATTAAAACACACGTGTAGATAACCAAGTGGAATTTTGGCTAAATGGCCATAAATATTGATATGTAAAACAGTAGACATAAACAATAAATGCTTTTATTTCATAATTATGCAATTAGAAAATATATTTAGATATGCATTTAGTTATAAATCCTTACACCATGAACAAAAATTCAACTCAAGATGGATTAAAGAATTAAATGTGAAACCTAAACCTACAGAAATCCTTGACAATAACCTGGGAAATACCATTCTGGACACAGGCTCTGGCAAAGATTTCATGAGGAAGACACCAAAAGCAATGGTAACAAAAACAAATTTGATAAATTGGATCTAATTAAAGAGCATCTACACAGCAAAAGAAACTATAAACTGAGTAAACAGACAATGCACAGAATGGGGACAAATATTTGCAAACTATGTATCTAACGAAGACCTAATATCCAGAATCTACAAGGAACTTAAATCAGCAAGCACAAAACAAACAACCGCATAAAAAACTGGGCAAAGGACAGGAACAGACATTTCTCAAAAGAAGACATATATGCAGTCGACAAGCACAAGAAAAAAATGCTTAAACGTTACTAATCATTAGATAAATGTAAATCAAAACCACAATAAGATACCATCTCACACCATTCAAAATGGCTATATTAAAAAGTCAAAAATAACAGATGCTGGTGAGATTGTGGAGAAAAGGGAACACTTCCACACTACTTGTGGGAAAATTAGTTCAGCCACTGTGGAGAGCATTTTGGTGATTTCTCAAGGCAGAATTACTATTTGACCCAGCAATCCCACTGTTGGGTACATACTTATAGGAATATAAATTGTTCTACCACAAAGCCACATGCATGTGTACATTGCAGCACGATTCACAATAGCAAAGACATGGAGGCCAGGCGTGGTGGCTCATGCCTGTAATCCCAGCACTTTGGGAGGCCAAGGTGGGTAGATCATGAGGTCAAGAGTTCCAGACCAGCCTGACCAACAGAGTGAAACTCCATCTCTCCTAAAACAAAAATACAAAAATTAACTGAATGTGGTGGCAGGCACCTGTAGTCCCAGCTACTCAGAAGGCTGAGGCCAGTGAATTGTTTGAACCCAGGAGGTGGAGGTTGCAGTGAGCCAAGACCACGCCATTGCACTCCAGCCTGGGTAACAGAGCAAGACTCCATCTCTAAGAAAAAAAAAAGAAAAAGAAAAGACATGGAATCAACCTAAATGCCCATTAACAGAAGACTGAATAAAGAAAATGTGGTACTAATACACCATGGAATACTATGCAGCCATAAAAAAGAATGAGATCATGTCATTTGCAGGGACATGGATGGAGCTGGAGGCCATTGTCCTAAGTGAACAGAAAACCAAACACCACATGTTCTCACTTATAAGTGGAAGCTAAACCTTGACTACATAGGGACATACAGAAGAGAACAACAGACACCGGAACCTATTGGAGGGTGGACGGAGACAGGAGGGTGAAGACCTAAGAACTACCTGTTGGTTACTATGCTTTCCATCTAGGTGATGATCTATGTTCCTAACACCTGTGACATGCAAGTTATCTATATAACAAACCCACACATGTACCCCCAGACCTAAAATAAAAGTTAAAAAAAAATTAAAAGTAAATTATACAAAGATGTGTTGATTCAACATGGCTGAGTATCAAATGTCAATTTTACGAAGTCTTTATTAGAGCACTTGGTGGTCCTTAGATTTTTACAGTATTTATGCCCTATTTGAGTAAAGATAAGGTTATATACAAGTTCTTCTTGCTCTTAAGATTCACCTATAAGAAAATTATGAGTTAGTATGCAAGTTGGAATAAACAGCTTAGAGCCAATTAAGAACAAAGAAAAATTTGAATTTTGGGTCTAGATTCATAGTTCTCTATTGCTAGTGCTACATCACCTGGAGAGAAATAGATTAAATATATTTAAGTATATTTACAAATATTAAATATATTTAAATATGTTGGGCAATGAGAAAAGTATGTACTAAGAATGCCTATTTTCATGTATTCATTAATTGAGAAAGCAAATGTTTATTTAAATCTATATTCAAGATATCATGTGTTTACAATAATAAATATTTGGAGACAATATTAACTTTCAAGTGTTGACTATCTTTCATTGCTACAATGAAATTATACATGCCTTATATGAAATAAAAAAATTAAAAAGCATTTTTAATTACAATTAAAATATAAGTAGAAAAAATGAAAGTACAAAACAGAACACATACTGTGTTTGTGAACACAAATTTATACACAAATGCACAAATATCTACACATGTACATGTTGATATATTTCTTTGAAAATGATGGAAACAAATTTGGAAAGAAATTTAAAAGTAGTTAACTTTGGCAAGTGGTATTGCTTTTTGCAGATTTTCTATTTTTAAGATATTTTATGCAACAGAGATTTTATGTCTTTTTCAAAAGAAATGCATGCTAGTGTTATTCGTTTGTTGTTTGCTTTTAAAATCTATTCCCTGGCTTTGAAAAGCTTACATTCATTGTATTTCTGGGTTTGCCGATAGAGAATCCCCAAATAAACTGAATATAAAGTAGAAATTTCAGTTTGCAAAATACCTGGGTGGAAATAAAGCATTTTTGGCAAAAATGAATAGTGAACTGCATCTCTCTTTCTTCAGATGATAGTGTGGTTGCATGGTTCTGTACCTTTCATATGTTGAGACCACGAAGCCGGCAGACTGAGGTGTTAAATATGCCCTCATTTTATGACTTTAGTAATTCACACATCCCTGAGCTTGGCCAGATGGGGATGCCTCTCTTTGTTTAATCTAATATCTCTATTGCATTAATTTTTTCTCCTTTTGTAGCCCAACCAGATAGCTTTATTGAGCTGCTCACGATGCTTCCTGGATCCCCACCGTCCAACTCCCTGAGAGTTGTCAGTTGGCTAGGCATACAACAGCCTGTGGAAGATGGCCTACCATTCCTTCTGATGTTCTTGCTTTAGGACTGACACTGCTTGGCCTGAATCTGATGTGCCATATGACTGACTGGCTGATTACCTTTATCTTCTCCCTCCTAGGTATACCTTAACTTCTAACAAAAAGGGTTTCAACATCACTGTTGAACAGAAAACAGTTTTGTTTGGTTTGTTTGTTTTTTAACATAGTTTATTATTTTTTTCCAAGGGTTTAAAACCTCCAATCCTAAACAGCAGAATGTGACCCTCTGCAAATAGCTCAGGTCTTTGAGGTCGAAGGACTCCCTCACTGCACGTCTGTCTTGACAGATTGAGGCCCTAGAACAACATAGCTTAGTCACACACTAACCAGCAGGGAGAAAGTCTGTGCCTTTTATTAAAGCCTACCTACTGGCTTAGTGTTTGGAATTCAGTTCTACCTATAAATCAGCATCAGAGCATACAACCCAGCGTGTTCAAGAGCTTTGCTTAAACATCAAAGGAAGAACACAGACAAGCACTATGATAGAAATATAACTAATCACTTGCAAATACATCTTTCCTGTCAGTAGGAGCTTAACCTTTCTGTTTAATGTGACTAGGAAAGAAATTCAGTTATCTCCATTCTATATGTTTTCTTTAAAGAGGTATAGAATTTTTCTATGAAAAAAGAGTATTTGCTCTTAATACAGACCAGCGTAGCATTTCAGAAGTCTGCAGTTGAAGAGAGCAACAAAAAGCTGAAATCTGTCCAATAGTAAATGCTGTTTATCACCTAATGAAAGACACATTACTTCTATGAATCTTATATCTGCTAGGAAAATCTCAGTTTTGATCAAGTGGCACTGGGCTAAAAGGAAAGCATAATAAATATATTTATTTTAAAAATGGGGGAAATAGATTTCTATTTGTTTGTTGGCTGGCAGTGAATGCAACTTGATGCTTTGTGGTACATTCATTGGGATCAATTTAGCTTCATCCGCTGCTCATGGTTTTATCCATTCATGAGGGGCCTAGGAAGGATTTACTTGAGGTGCTCAGAAAATCCTAGAATCTATAAACTGTTCCTTTAATTTGAATGCTACAGATTACGGATGAAAGTTTGGTCACCTGTGCGGATCAGTGGGATTAGAGACATCAAAGCAAGTAAAAATAAGGAAGACAAGCAGAGAAACAACAAACAAAAAGAACTCCATCACTGAAACCGAAGGTAGTGCCAAGGGAATTGGAAGGTTTGGGTAGAAATATTGTATTCCAAAGTGGATTTGTGCTCATGCTGTTGCCGTTTCTAAATCTAGGATAAATTGTGGAGACATGAAGTCTTAGAGTCAGCATATCTGAGAAAGGAATCGTCTATTATTTTCTGATTTGATATTTCTGTACAGTATAGATAATCTTGATTTTCAAATGTTTATGTGTAATGAGTGTTTTTATGGAGGCTGTAGCATATTTGGTATTGATATTTGTGAGGTTTTAATATGTACACATATATGTGAATGTTTGTGTATATAAGAGTTGGTATAGTCTAGTGATATTAAGACTGATATTAACCTTAAAATAAAGTAAAAAGAGTAAAAATATTGAGTTTGACAAAACTAAGAAAGAATCCTGGATCCACTGGTGTAAGTTTTGGAATCATAGGGAATATTAATACTTATTTTATAGTTGTGAGAATTAGATGGGCTGTCTCATAGAAATGCCCAATGCATTTTAACAATCCTGTAACTCGTACCTAGTAATAGTAGTGTCAAAAAACAACATAGGGGTTAATACCTTTATGCCTTACAACTGGATGTGTCAAGGTAAGATTTACTCAACCTCAATTACTCTCAGTATTTTCTTATCTAGGATTTAATAATGATAAGCTTAAAATTAAAAAACAAGACCAGGTGTTTGTAGGTTACCTATTGGATACTGTGTTTATTACCTGGGTGACAAAATAATTTGTACACCAAACCCCTGCACTGCACAATTTAGCTATATAACAAACTGCATATGTACCACTGAACCTAAAATAAAAGGTAAAACAAAACAAAAAACTACCTTACTTTTTCTGATACTGATAGCAGAATTTTAACAAGAGTTGTTAGGTTCACCTATATCTGGAGTCTGGAACAACCTCTCCATTCTCCTCTAGTTTCAAATATACCAACTATACTAAATAGAGCATGTATATGGTCTCTTCTCACTCACTACTCCCCTAGCCTCATGTTTTACCTTAGAAAATGTACTCTGTTTAGAGACATGGCTCCTATATGTGGGCGCATTCACATATATCAAGGTTAATAGCCACTTTCCCACTGGCAAATGCTAATCCATAGTGCCAATGAGTCTTCATTAGAATAAAATATAACTGTTGTGCCCATTTAAATAAAGCATTTCTGACAACATCACAGAATGATTACACTATAAAAATGCTAATGCACATCCAGTGTTTTGAGAGAGATTGTAAGATCCTTGAGGGCAAGGATTTGTTCTATCCTTAGGTTATGTACTCTATAGACAACAGTGGGACACTTAATGATTTTGTTTTTAACAGCTAACTAATTCTCCTTGTTTTGAGAAAAACTTAAGAGTGAAAATAACTTCCTCAGGCATCCTTCTTAGAAGAAGAAAATAGATTGGCAATTTTCGGAAATCAGGTCTGCAGGATCTTAAGACCATTACAAACTTCTGTGATATTCAGTTCAGAGTTTCCCAAGAAAACAGAAAATTAACAAGTCTCTGAGACTTGCCCCTTTACAGATGTCCTCCGGAAAGGAGGGTGGAAAAGCCCTTGCTAAGTAATCCTGTCCAGAGCAATTTCCCTCTCCTGTCAATCTCCTGAGAACTCCTTCTCCTTCCACATCTCATTCCTTTATGTTTAGATCTTCTACCTTTGCATTGAAGGTTCATTCATGATTATGTATAGAATTCATTAAAAGCAATGCTCCGAACCTCATAAGCTACTGAAAAGATTAACATTAGAAGATTTGGAATGAGTGGTGGTGGCCATAATAAAATGTCTGCTGAAAATAGCTATTCTGGTAATTAACTAAGTACTAGCACAGTACAGCTAAGTGTCATAGTGGGGTGGGTGAGTGTATTAGTTTGCTCTCATGCTGCTAATAAAACATACCTGAGACTTGGTAACTTATAAAGAAAAAGAGGTTTAATGGACTCACAGTTCCACGTGGCTGGGGAAGCCTCACAGTCATGATGGAGGGTGAAGGAGAAGCAAAGTCATGTCTTACATGGCGGCAGGCAAGGAGAGCTTGTATAGGAAAACTGACTTTTATAAAACCAACAGACCGTATGGGACTTATTCACTGTCATGAGAACAGCAGGGGAAAGACCCACCCCCATGATTCAATTACCTCCCACCAGGTCCCTCCCACAACATGTGGGAATTATGGGAGTTATAATTCAAGATGAGATTTAGGTGGAGACACAGCCAAACCATATAAGTGGGGATGGAGGTTAGCAGTGAAATTTGAGAGCAACAGGTGAGCATTACCAGTGTACTAAAAAGCAGTCACAAAGGCTTCTTTTATAGTCACTCAACATATAACAAGATGAGAGAAAGTACTAAGTGGGATATTCTGATTAATTCAGAGGCCATGAAAAAAACTGATCAAGTTAGTAATATTTATTAAATACAAGCTAAGCATACATTCAAATTTCATTAGTAGTTTTATAACTTCATCTTATGGAATTTGCAGAGTATTCTTCTGCTATTCAGAATCTATTTGTTAAACAAATGTATGTGTATTTAAAAATATATATTAAGTATTTTATTAAAAATATGTCCTAATTGATTCATTAATGGTACTTGAATATGCAAAGAACATACAACTGTTTTCTGTGCATCGGTTTCCTTAGATGATATTTATTTTATCCTTGGTTTTATGTGTAATGTTGCTAAGTTTCTGTGGTAACTCAATCACTTTATATAAAATGGAGATTATTTCATTAACTACCAAGGCAGCTACTATTTCTGGATGTTACTGTGTCATAGGAATGAGTTGAAGCAATTTTCCAGTGACACAAAATGCTTGGACCACACTTACGTGTAGACTCGAATCTCCTCCCTTTTGAAGGGGTTCTCATAATTAATAGATGTTATGAAACCTAATCCTGCCTTCTCCTTCTCAAACCCCACACATGTGCTCATCCAGACATGTACCAAGTTGTTAGACATGAACAAGGTCTGCATGACCTTCACAGAAACTAAACTATGTAAGAGAAATAGACAGAAAACTGCCCTATTCTCTACTTTACTCAGGCAGAAGAATCTATAAATAAATGCATTTGATTGTAGTAAGAAATACTACATGCTATTCTTAAACTAATGTCTATTGCTGTCCTGGGAGGGAGAACAGTTATGACAAATTATCTTTAAGAATCTTGTGCTAGGAGCGTTGGCTGCTTGTTTGTTGTATTCCTTTAACTGAGAACACCACAATGGTATTGTCAGTACCTCCTCAGACTGGCTATCAGGAAGTGACAACTCACCTAGGAATTGTTCAAACTCTCAGAAAAGCATATTGGACTCTGTCAGAGGTCATAGCTGTTCTTTTCAAAATGATGGAACGTGCCTGTCACTTTTTCCATTTTTTTTTTTGTTCAGTTCCCATGATCTACGTCAGCTCATCTTATTTCCAGTATTTGTTACCTGCCATCCTCTCCTTTGTGGAACTCCAGACCTCTGTAATGTGAAAGCAGTCCTGGCCCTTGGTTTGTAGAAAACTCCAGTGTTAGAAAACTCCATGCCTTAGAAAGCTATTGGGTACTAGGCTTAGTATCTAGGTGACAAAATAATCAGTAAAATTTACCTACCTAACAAACCTGCATATGTACCCTTGAAGCTAAAATGTTTTTTAAGAGAGCTAATGTTAGCTCTCTTTTTATTTGTGTTTCACTGACCCTGAAGTGTGGGTAGGGGATTCTAGTCCTTACGGTGGCAGCAAAGTGATAGACAATTGAAATTTATTCTAGTTCAGTTTACCAAAGGTGAAGTTTATAAGCAGTTTCTTCATAAGTTACCCATATATAAGCCCAGTTCGACAGAGTAAATATATTCTGGTTGGATCATATGATTCAATTTTATTGGAAGAACATGATTTTTCTCTATCTTTTGAAAGTTATTAACTTCGGCATTATTTTTCCCAGCCTGCTTTTATGATAATATATATTATGCTACCAGATATCTGAATCATCTGAGGCATGTGTTTCCTGTACTACAAACTCCTCTTTCAGTAGGTTTATGAGCAAGCAGAATTGACTCCATTTGAGAGGCATGGGAGGGGCCCTCAGTAATCAGCCCTGTGCCTCCTGCCATCTCCTCTCTCCTGAACCATGTAGCTGAGCAAATGAATATCTTGAGTCATGCAGCTAATAGCCCTTGGAAACTGTCTCTCTGTTGAATAGGCTGTCAAAAAAAATCTGGGAACTCAAAATATCAGTTCATGCTATTCCTCCCAAACTCATGACTACAACAGAACTGCTGACCTTCAATTTGGCACCTGCTCTTGCTAAGCTCCTTGAATCTGATATTTAGGACTTTTCCAAAATATTACTGCCTTACCTAGACTCCCTTTCTTAGAGCCAAGGTAAGAATCTAGTCCTCTTATTCTAGCAAGTCTGTTTGTCACTCATGGGAATTCTATGAAATTAGGACAAATGCCAATTATTTCTACTGGGCAGTAATAAATATTTGAGTTCACGTAATCAGAACTATTCACTACTTTACAATTTTATCATGTTTTACCTATTTCCCAAAGTAATTATTGTTTGACGTCCCCACAAAATGTTGGCATTTATGAAGAACGATTTTTACTTCATCATTTGAACAGCCCTCAAAGCTTCCAAAAATCTAACTGTCGATGATTCTGCCTTTTCCTGGGCCTGGGTGAGTCTAATGGCTTCACCCAGGCTCAAGTTTCTCTAGATCACATTAATATACTACTTGTAGAAATCAGAAAGACTCTCTAACTTGCTTAGTTTAATGGTCAAGGACATCTCTGCCGTGTTATCCTTGGCGGCATATCAATAAAATTGAAAAATGGGAAGTGGGAATAAGAGGTTAAATTGGTTAGACATAGAAAGCATCCCTTTTTCCCCGAACTACTTAGGGACAGATGGTGAGCCAATGGAAAGTGAGCAGAGTTGGGATGTCAATGTAATTTAGGTGTTAATTATTACCATTATCTCTGTTATGCTGGATAACTC